AAAGATGAGAATATATCCATTCAAGAAGTCCAACAAACCCCAAACAAGATAGACCCCAAAAGAAAATCACCAAGACATATCATCATCAAACTCAGCAAAACCAAAGACAAAGAATGAATCCTGAAAGCAGCATGGGAAAAATGAAAAGTTGTCTACAAGGGGAAACCAATAAGACTAAGCTCAGATTTCTTGGCAGAAACCATGGAGGTGAGAAGGCAATGGGATGGCATATATAAAACGCTGAAAGGGAAAAATTTCCAACCAAGATTATATACCCAGCAAAATTGTCCCTCTAATATGATGGTGAAATTAGGACATTTCCAGATAAGCAGAAATTAAGGGAATTTGTTACAACCAGACCAACCTTACAAGAGATGATAGAGGGAGTCCTTTGGACAGAGAACCAACAACAACAAACAACAACTGACCATTAACACACCTGATGACATAATCCAGAAATCAATGCAGTTATGGAAGTATCCAAAGTAAATAAGCCTACAAAATTGTAAGCAGGGAACCAGAGACATTAATTGACAAATGAGGACAACTACAAACCAAACAGAGGGAATAAATTGTGTAGTTACATAACTTCTAATTGGTAGGGAAGTCCAGACAACTAAAAGATAGAACACACTGTTCTACACTTGGGGAGAAAATTATAAATCACAGGGTGACCTCAAAGAAAAATGACAAACCTTCACATCAAAATAAAAAAAGAGAACCAGCACAAATATTTAACACATACTGAAACAATAGCATCAAAGGAAATGATGACATGACTCATAAGCAAAACAAGCTCAGAACAGAAAATTATATGGAACAAAGAAATCAGGAGCACCATGAAAATGTGCAAAACAAAATAATAGCAACAAATTCATACTTGTCAATAATTATATATCTGACAAGGAACTTATCTCTAATATTTACAGAAAACTCCAACACCTCAACAACAAAAAGATGAATAATTCAATTAAAATATGGGCAGAAGACATGAATAGACAATTAACCAAAAAGGATATTCAGGCAGCCAGCAAATACATGAAGAAATGTTCATGACCATTAGTCATCAGAGAGATGCGAATCAAAACAAAGATGAGATATCATCTCACCCCAGTTCAACAAGACAGAAAATAACAAATGCTGGTGAGGATGTGGAGAGATTGGGGCTTTCATACATTGCTTGTGGGACTGTGGAATGATACAACCACTGTGGAAAGCAGTATGGTAATTCCTTAAAAAGCTGGAATTAGAAATACCATTTGATCCAGCAATTCCATTGCTAGGTATATATCCTAAAGAAGTGAGAGCCAGAACAAGAACAGATATATGCACACCCATGTTCATCACAGCACTATTTACAATAGCAAAAAGATAGAAACAACCTAGGTGTCCATCAGCTGAGGAATGGATAATCAAACTATGGTACATACACAAAATTGAATACTATGAAACCCTAAAGAATAATGTAGAATCTGCAAAACACTGCATAATGTGGATGAACTTGGAGGACATTATGCTGAGTGGAATGAGTCAGTCACAGAGGGACAAATATAGTATTAGTTCATTAATGCAAAAAGTCAAGGAAAGGTTTATATATAGAAGGAAACTTTCTTTGTTGGTTATGAAGGGTGGGAGGGGAGAGAAGGGAACACTGTGGGAAAAAACAAAACAATGCATTGACCCATGTCACTTTAGTTTATTGTATTTCACTGTATATAAATTATATTTCAATAAATGTATATAAAAAATCTGATGGAATCTACAAAATAGCTACTAGAACTAAGAAGTAAGGTTAGCAAAGGTACAAGATGCAAGATAAATACATGGAAAAAAAAATCAATTGTATTTCTGTACACCAACAACAATCAGCATCGATATTTGAATCTCATGTTCAGTTTTATCTCAATTTTATCCAGATTGCATTATATTTGACTGTTATTTTTCAGAGTTATGGTTTGCATCTATAGCTATTATCTATTTTTTACAAATGGAGGCCTTTCTCTATTTTTCATCCTTTTTGTTTTCAGTAGGCTTTGGGATGGATGTGGAACAATAAATATCTAACTTTCTAGCTCGTAAATAGAAACAAAACTCCACTACATGATTTAAATCTCAAATTAAACACATGAAATTACATTTTCATTGAGAAGTTTATTTTACCTTCTTGTCACTGTTGCCTCCAGAGTGGCAGTGAATAGAATGAGTCCCTTGAAAAGGAATTATTAAGCTTTATAGGAAGGACACACAATACCAAATTATTTTTACAATGGCAAAAATCGTAACATCAGAGAGTAAGATGTAGACACCCACCTGATTTCCTTTGGGTTCTAAAGCAGTACAGCATAGCAGCAATAGCACCAATAGCAGCAATAGTGGCAAAGCCAAAGATGATGACCGGCTCCCCACTGAATTCTGCAGTGGTAAGGCCTGTTCTTTTGTTGGAAGACCCTGAGTAGAGAGACCTGTACTTGAGTTCCAGCAGCAGTCATTTTAGATCTCGGCAAAAGTAGACGTGGGGCTTTGAGGTCTATTAGGGAAAATTTTTAACAGGCCTTGATTTCTCCATTTGAATAATCTCCAATATAATATTTCTTATTTTCAAAATAATGGCACATGTAGGGTGATTTCTAGCATTCAAAATTAATGTTTATTCCCTTTCTCCCTCATGAAATCAGTATCAGTCTCCAGAAGGCCCAAGCTTTGTTGTGTATGTTCAAAAATTCTGGGACATGGTAGAACATGTACCATCTATAGTAGAAATGCTTTATTGACCAGAACTGTGACCTTAAGCCCAGATACCACTAACCTACCTATGACATTGAGTGCCACTGTGTCACTGCGCTGGACCTCCAGGCCATTGCTGGCCTCACACAAGTAGTTCCCAGAATGCTCTATGGTCACAGAGAAGTTGAAGGATGCTCTTCCTCCAGAGGGGGCTGAGCTGTATCCCAGGCTCACATTCTCATGATAAAACTGGTACAGGATTGGGGGAGAACCTTTCTGTGCCTCACAGTGAAGCTTCACCATATCCCCTGGCACAGGCTGGGCCTTGGGATCCCAGAGGGTCAGGACAGGACGAGACACTGGAACTGAAGGAGAAAAATTAGTTCATCAGCATAGTTACTTAAGGTTGTGTACAAAAGCAGTTAATAAAGAAAATATCCAGCATGGTTTAGTAGTAGGAACATGGACTTGGAATTCAGGAAAACTTGGGCTTGAATCTTATCTCTGCCCTTCATAAGCTCTGTGATCTTGATTTTTAAACGTTTTAAAAATCTCTCTAAGTCTCAGTTTACTCCTTTGTAAAATGGAACTAATAATAAATTAAATCTCAAACTATTATAAGCAGTCAAATGCCTTAGGCACTATGCCACCAGAGCTCCCTCAATAAATGTTAGCTAGTATTATTGATAGAAATTATAGGTAAAATCAAGGTGCATTTCTGTACGTTCATGACTCCTAAATCTTAGCTTTAAGACTCAGACTCCCACACCTATTTAAAACAGGACTTCATCATTCTCTACTCAATTATCTTGTTTTATTTTTTTTCACATAACATTTAGCACTACCTAACATCTGTCCTCTCGGAAGGAAGGTGGGGCAATCCTACTTCCGTAGTGATACTGCCTCGGAAACCCTAGGAGGGGTGGCTATGAGTCGGGGCCTACTCGACGGCACATAACAACAACAACAACAACAACATCTGTCCTTGGGTGGGGCAAATGGTTAACTACTTACTGAAAGATTAGAAGCTTGAGTCAACCCAGAGTTGCCTTGGAAGAAAGGCCTGAGAATCTACTTCTGAGAAAAAAACTTCGGCCATTGAAAACCCTAGGAACTCTGGTGATGTAGTGCCTAAGGCACTTGACTACTAACCAGAAGGCTAGCGGTTCACACCTGCCAGCCACTCCTCAGAAGGAAGGTTGGGCAATCTACTTCCATAGTGATACTGCCTTGGAGGAGGCGGGGCAAGATGGCGGACTAGGCAGAAGGATTGCACAGACCCTCTTCAACAAAGAAAAGGGAAACCAATTAACACAGACACAGAAGAT